CTTAACTTTCCTTTGCCAGAAGTCCGAAATTCTTTAATGGACCAAATCACACACATGGCAGCCTCGAAACCCAGAGAATCTTAGAATCTCTACGATGTGACTATTTGGTGCCACATGCTTCGCTGTCAGCGTCATGTGTAGTCTGACTTGCTCCAGTTTTTTTCCTTGAAGGCGTGTTCAATGCGTGTTCAACACATGCTGCAGGTGATCGCTTCACCTTTTGGCTTTGGCGCTGTGTACCAAGGCATGGCTATACTTCTTGTCAGCTTCTCAACGTTACAAGCGCGACTACGTCAACCCCTGTGCTGCAGAACATTTTTGAACATGCAGACAAATGCAGACAAGGCTTTCCATGGCTTTGCATGGCGCGTGGCGCGATTGCCCAAGGCCTTGGAGTTGAGGCATGCAGAACGCTTGTGTCCAGAGCCGAGAGAAGGTGAGATAAGGTGATCCTCTCTGATCTCCGTGGATCTCCGTGATATGCGGTTGTCTTTTGAGCCATGACTGAGGCTATCCTGACAGCGCACACCTCACGGGCCCATTTCCCAGTTCTTTTTCTTGGAACATTGTGACATCGTGAGCTTCAAGACATGTCTATGATCTTTCTGGTGAGGCCGCACAATTGTGGCAGAGATAGCGCTCGGTCGCTGTCATACATCGTTTCTGCCTCAGTTTAGCTAAACACCGGCTGCACAAGAGTTCAGCAGGACTGCCTCTCTGAAGTGTCAGCACAGAAGTCTGCTCAGTAGAGGTGGAGAGACTTGGAGAGACTCCGAGGGACATGTGCAATCAGGTGCATGTTTTGTGCAAGTTTGTTGGTTTGTGTTTTTGTCTTTTACAGGTCCACCATCTCTTGGTGCTGAGGCACACCTTGCCAGTTGAGCTTGCTGACCTTGGTACCAAAGGCTGGCAAACAGCTCTCCCCGCACATGTTTTGCAGACGTAGACAGGAAAGGACAGGACTGGGCCCTTTTGATTTCAAAATGGGCTTCGAATAAATCGTACGGATCTTGTTCGCTGGGTCTCACAACTCCACTCTTGGAAGGCCCAGCAGGTGCTGTGCCATTGGCTTGCCTCTTAATTTCGACCAGAACTACATCAGAACCGCATCAGCACTACATCAGAACTACAGAAATCAGGCGAATCTTCCAAGCTTTAGACTGCTGTGCACCTATGTGGCTGACAAGGTAAAAGGGCTTGAACGTGAATATCGTCGTGGTGCGGACTCTGTGTCGAGAACTTGACATACTTTGGCCCTCCTCAATCCCAATTTATCCTATCTGGGTTTCCGACCGTTTCCCACGGTTTCTGAGGTACTTCCCACAAATGGGCATCATTGCAATTCTCAGTGCGAGACCTGGTGCTTGGGGTTGAGTCCCAGCATGTCACAGGCGAAGATTTCGGCCATGATGCAGGTTGAGTCAGCAGAAGAATGCTCCAGACACATCCAGACACCATAGACAGAAACAGTGACAGAAACACCAGGCATTTGTCACTGCGGCTCGCGTCCAGGTCCAACTAGGGCGCTCCCAGTTTTTCTTGCAGAGTGCCGAAATCCGGAGAAGAGAACGGCTTACTCAGCTTACTCAAGATCTTGACGTTAAATCTGATCATTTGATCACCTCATTTGCATGTCTTTTGTGATCTTCTTGTGACAGCCTAGAGGTACTCGCGCGAGTTTGTAGGTGCATCTGAGTCATACACTCAGAAGCGTGGCCCGAAACTTCCTCCGCGGAGTCTGATTTTGTCACTAGTAGTCTTCTGACTCTCAGGTCAAAGGTGGCAAGGACAACTGTAGGCTAAGAACAGTCTCTGGCCCTGCAGACCAATTCGTGTCGCTTGTAAAAATTCAAGACTGGTGAGGCTGCGTGCCTCTAAATTCAACACAGGCAAGTGTGTATATTCCTTGACAAAAAGACGAAAAGGATCTGCCACTGCATCTTCTTGAGAATGCACGGAGTAATTGGGGTGCAAATGGGTGCAGACATGCAAAAGGAAGATCAGGAAAGAAGCAAAGGCAGCTACCAAGTCCTGCATGAGTTCCAGATGCTGGAAGTTGGGAGGCTGAATTTTGATATGCATCGGTATGGCTCGAACTGAAAGCTGCCCGCAGACTGACCGCGCAAAGCATTGCATTGGACAGTTCCGGCCAAGCCGTAGCGAACGTTCGCCATGCCTGTGCCAGAGCCAGATGTTGAGGTGCCTTCCGGTGACACCAAGAAGGGTGCCAAGCTCTTCAAGGCTAAGTGTGCTCAGTGCCACACCATCGAGCAAGGCGGTAATACCAAACAAGGCCCTCCTCTTTGGGGTCTTATTGGTCGCACATCAGGCACCTGCGATGGTTTTGCCTACTCCGAAGCCAACAAGAACGCTGCCATTGTGTGGTCAGACAAGCACTTGTTCGAGTATTTGCTGAACCCCAAGAAGTACATCCCTGGTACCAAGATGGTTTTTGCAGGCATCAAGAAGGAGAAGGAGCGGGCTGATTTGATTGCCTACATGGCCGAGATGAAGTAAAGAGGGAGATCATGTCCTGAAATCCCTTTTTGAACGCCAGCTGTGTCATGTGTGAGTTACTGGTGCTGGCAGAATCCATCGTTTTGTAAGGACATGGGTCTTCAGCATAGCAAACTTAAGGTGATCAGTCAACTAGTAGGCCATAGGACCATGAAGCGGTCATAACAGGAATCAGTTAAGTTCATTTTTGCCAGTATCTTGTCGATTGTGGAAGTGACGCTCTTGTGAGTGGGTCGGAAAAAAACCGAAAGAGTTCTGCGGCTCATTGCAATCTCTTTGATGGCGTAGATGTCACCTTGCTGTTCATGCAACTCTTGCGAGCGGCATCAGCATTCAATGAAGTGTAGCCACAAAGTCCTGTAAGTGGAAGCAAAAAGCAGAGGTCTTGACAACAGCTGCACAGACCCTTTGTGTGCCAGATTCTAGTGCACATTTGTTAAAGACTGGACACACAATTTTGGGGATTTCGGGATTGTCCATGGGGCATGAGAAACATGCTTTCAAGAAGAAGTTCGCTCAAATACTCAAAGAGGATGTCTTGTATCAGTTCCAAATGATGGAAGTTGGGAGGCTAAATTTTGATATGCATCGGTATGGCTCGACTGAAAGCTGCCCGCAGACTGACCGCGCAAAGCATTGCATTGGACAGTTCCGGCCAAGCCGTAGCGAACGTTCGCCATGCCTGTGCCAGAGCCAGATGTTGAGGTGCCTTCCGGTGACACCAAGAAGGGTGCCAAGCTCTTCAAGGCTAAGTGTGCTCAGTGCCACACCATCGAGCAAGGCGGTAATACCAAACAAGGCCCTCCTCTTTGGGGTCTTATTGGTCGCACATCAGGCACCTGCGATGGTTTTGCCTACTCCGAAGCCAACAAGAACGCTGCCATTGTGTGGTCAGACAAGCACTTGTTCGAGTATTTGCTGAACCCCAAGAAGTACATCCCTGGTACCAAGATGGTTTTTGCAGGCATCAAGAAGGAGAAGGAGCGGGCTGATTTGATTGCCTACATGGCCGAGATGAAGTAAAGAGGGAGATCATGTCCTGAAATCCCTTTTTGAACGCCAGCTGTGTCATGTGTGAGTTACTGGTGCTGGCAGAATCCATCGTTTTGTAAGGACATGGGTCTTCAGCATAGCAAACTTAAGGTGATCAGTCAACTAGTAGGCCATAGGACCATGAAGCGGTCATAACAGGAATCAGTTAAGTTCATTTTTGCCAGTATCTTGTCGATTGTGGAAGTGACGCTCTTGTGAGTGGGTCGGAAAAAAACCGAAAGAGTTCTGCGGCTCATTGCAATCTCTTTGATGGCGTAGATGTCACCTTGCTGTTCATGCAACTCTTGCGAGCGGCATCAGCATTCAATGAAGTGTAGCCACAAAGTCCTGTAAGTGGAAGCAAAAAGCAGAGGTCTTGACAACAGCTGCACAGACCCTTTGTGTGCCAGATTCTAGTGCACATTTGTTAAAGACTGGACACACAATTTTGGGGATTTCGGGATTGTCCATGGGGCATGAGAAACATGCTTTCAAGAAGAAGTTCGCTCAAATACTCAAAGAGGATGTCTTGTATCAGTTCCAAATGATGGAAGTTGGGAGGCTAAATTTTGATATGCATCGGTATGGCTCGAACTGAAAGCTGCCCGCAGACTGACCGCGCAAAGCATTGCATTGGACAGTTCCGGCCAAGCCGTAGCGAACGTTCGCCATGCCTGTGCCAGAGCCAGATGTTGAGGTGCCTTCCGGTGACACCAAGAAGGGTGCCAAGCTCTTCAAGGCTAAGTGTGCTCAGTGCCACACCATCGAGCAAGGCGGTAATACCAAACAAGGCCCTCCTCTTTGGGGTCTTATTGGTCGCACATCAGGCACCTGCGATGGTTTTGCCTACTCCGAAGCCAACAAGAACGCTGCCATTGTGTGGTCAGACAAGCACTTGTTCGAGTATTTGCTGAACCCCAAGAAGTACATCCCTGGTACCAAGATGGTTTTTGCAGGCATCAAGAAGGAGAAGGAGCGGGCTGATTTGATTGCCTACATGGCCGAGATGAAGTAAAGACCAATTGCGATCCCTTGTTGAGTCACCAACTTGGTACAACGATTCAACGTACAGCAGCAGTAGCTGTCTTGTGATCAAAAATGAGGAATCGAGAGACTAGAGTGGCTTGTCACTAGTGTCGATGCATCAGGGGAGTCCAGCCGTGCAGTTGTGCCGACCGTGCAGAAGGCGACAGTTTCTTGTGTGCAGCTGCCCTCTTGATCCTTTTTGGTTATCCAGAAGCAGAGTATGACAAAAGCATGACCGTAGTTCGCTAGTTCTGCGTGGACCATGACATGATAGAATTATGGCATGTCAAGATTGATAGCAAGTCCAAAACAAGCATAGGTACGGTCACAGAGCCAAACTGAAATTTAGCTGCCAGCAAAGATCTGCAACTGTACTGCACAAAGTAGATCCGCACAAGTACTCAGGTATTTAGATCAGAATATTTTTTTGGGTTTAGGACATGTGAAGGTTCCCAGTTGAGCCATGGACCTCACGCTGGATGTTCCATCGATTACTTGGAGGCAGTGATTCAACTTCACACACAACCAGGATTGTAGATCATAATTTTAGTAGAACAGTGCAAAGTATAAAGCCGTAAAGCTTTTCTTGTTTCAAAATGGATCAATGCACGGAGCAGGACATGTTTGGGAGATGTTTTTTTACTTTTTTTTTTTTTTCCGGCAGGTGTGTGGAGAAGAGACCGCCTGTCAGGGTCCTTTTTGAAGCAGCAGTGTGATACTTTCAGCATTTGCCAATTGGCTGTTTCAGAAGTTGAAAGCAGCATAGAGTCTCATAGAGCAGCTGTGTTCTATGACTTTCAGCATTCCTGTGGTCCAAGGCTTCAGCAAAGTGTGAGAGACATATCAAGAGTTCGACTGAAGGCCATTCAGCCATTCCTCGGACGTTCAAGGCATGTCATGTCATATTTTTCGAGCTTTACAGTCAAATGGAAATCTGGCAGGCCAGTCACGGGGAGCATTGATGATGCTCAGTTGTGGCATGTTGGTCGCGTCCTTGGTACAGACTTGTATAGCTCCATCTTTTTTGTAATTACAGTGGTGGTCCGAAACACATGGCTCTTGTCGCCGAACCATCAAAACACGCAGCCCAGCATGTGTTAGCAGGCAGGCAGGCAGAGAGACAGAGAGCCTGTTTGGTTGTTGTGTTTTAGAGGTCTTCATTGGAAGGGAACCGACAAGGGAACAGATAAGGGAACTTAGCCAAGCTGCTTCTCTATGAGCAGGCCAGTAGGGAAAGATCCGGGGAAGATCCATGCTCCTGAATTCTCCCGAAGCGTGCAGATGGTGACCCCGGTGATCCTTATACTTTTTTCTGAAGCTCCAGGTAACCTCAAGAAGCCGCCGGAACTTCAGTCAGCTCGGTCGTCACGCAATCAGCTCCTCTGGCCATTTTTGTCGCAGACCCATCCTATAGATCCTATACAGATCACAGGTTATATATAGATCACAACCAGATCATATACTGATCAAACAGGAATACATATCACGAAAGGTAACGTCAGCTACCTGAGTTCTCCGTGCTTCAGCACAATCATAGGGGGTATTGGGGGGCCAGCCCGGGCGAAACGTAGAATTCTAGGCGTTATGTGTTAGATTTCAATTGTAAGGGGGGGGGTCATGGTGGTCACGGGCCTCCAGCAGTAGAGGCGCACTCTCCATACTCTCCATGAGGAGATGTCCCTGTAGTCCAGCATAATTGGCACGTTTCAGCCTGAGGAATGGTGTATCGGAAAAAAGAGGTTTTATATAAATAAGAACACCGTCCAGATGTTCAAAAAATGGGTTTTTAATAAGATGTTCTACCCAGAGCATGACTGCATGATACAGTGCCTTGTGCAGCGTGAAATGACGCACGAAAAGGTGTCTATTCACAGAAAAGGACGCCAGGAGGGGCCCCAATTTACTACGTTTCTAAAAATGCAGTGTTTTGGGGTGTGTTAAAAAGATCGCATTTGGAAGAAAAATATGTTTACTTTACAGCTTTCTCATGAGTATCCAAAAAGGTATCTTTTTTTTTTGAAAAATTGATTGATTATATAGAGCGTCTTGGAAAGCCTAAAGCTTCAGAATGCATAGAAAGAAAGTGATTGATCCTAGGGAATCTAAAAAATATATACAGACATAAAAATAATATATATATATAATATAGATACATATGGTCTAAGGGAGGGTCGGTCCCCCCAAAAAAAACAAATTGGGACTGACCATCCCTTAGACTATGTATATATATATATATATTTATACATATACATTTTTTTCTTAGGACTCTGCGTTGGTCTATATAATATATGTATATATATATATTTTGTGAGACTCTTCCTTAGATTAGACTGCCTAGACCCAGACCCCCCTCCCCCAGAGCTCCCTAGACCCAGCTCCAACGGTCTTTACACTAGCTATATAGTATGAACAATACCACTCAGTTTGTTTATTCTACAAAGATCACCCTCGCTGCAGTATCTCAATCTGCTGATAATATCTTTCAAAAAATATATACCCTTGAAGATGTTTTCTTGATCAGGATTTTCTGTCCATATTATTTCCATACTGTTTTCGTGTTTTCATACTTGTTAAAAAATGCATAGCGTAGCATGAAAAGAGCATGATACAACTCACCACTCTGCAAAGGTATTGCCAATGAAGAACATGTCATGTGCAATTTCTATAACACAATTATGATGAGTCATGTATATGTATGCTATCTGCTTGTGTGGCTAGTGCGCTTGTATGTGACACTATTTGCAAAGTTTCCTGTTTACCCGCATTGTTGGCTTACCAAGATTGGTTCTAAGCATTCTTATGTATTCCATGCGCACTATATTAAAGGTTGAAAAAATGAGTTTGCACTGTACATATGTGAGAAGAGTGATTTGCCCTACGCCTCTTCATGATCACTATTAGTTTGTGATGAAGTTCTAAGCATTCTTTAGGGCAGTCTTCTGTTGGCCCGTGCCCGGGTGTCCGTGTGCCCGTGTGCCCGTGTGCCCGTGGATCGCGGCTGTGCCCGGGTGCCCGTGTGCCCGGGCCAGCGACGTGCTGGGTGCATGCTGCCTAAGTGTTACACAGACTTTGTACAGTCCAGAAGCGGCACGCTTGCATCAACTTCAAGGAGCCATGTCAATGGACCAGGCAGTTGCAGTCTGTTTGTCCACACTGAGGGGTTCTTACGGTAGGTGTAAAGGCCGGTGCCTGATCTGGGTGCTCACTATGGTCTGCGGCATTTTACCTGTAAATTTCCGTATGATGTGGCTCTTGTTCCGCTGCAATGTTGTTATTATTCCGTCATGTTACCTGAGTTTCTTTGATTCCTGTGCCCGTGTGCCCCTGGATTGGCTGTGTGAGCGGATGTTCCAGCAAGGAATGTTTGATTGGTAAGTAGAACTTCCCAACTGGCATGTCATGACGATGTCCTAGGACTGATATGTGCCCGTGTGCCCGTATATCTGTGTGTTGATTTCTCTTTCTCCCTCTGTTCCCCCTCTCTCTCTCTCTCACTCCCCCTCTCTCTCTCTATCTCTCTCTCTCTCTGTCTTTCTTTCTTTCTTTCTTTCTCTCTCTCTCTCTATCTGTATCTCCCTCTCCCTGGTCCCTTTCTACTTATCGATTTATCCTTTTGCCTATGTATCTATATGTCTGTGTGTCTGTCTTTCTATCTATCTACCTATCTATCTATCTGTTTGTCTGTCTGTGTGTCAACCGGTTGCCGCAGCGTGATGTCATAGCAGCATTGTGAGCTCGTTGCCCGTCGTTGTAGACCTTGGTGTTTGTTTGACATTCCTTCTTGTTGCATGACCATGTGGGTGCCTTGTTGTTTGCGTGCAACTTTGTCCCGCTGTGCTGTGATGCCTTGATCTTATGTTAATTTCGACATGCGGCGTTTCGGCGCCGTCTGCTGTAGATGGCATGTTGCTGTCCTTGCCGTGTTGTTTGCATGCAGCTTAATGTCGTTGTTTTGCCTTGATCTTAAGTTAATTTCCACATGTGTCGTTTTGGCTCCATCTACCGTAGATTTCTTTATCTGGGCTCGCTGTTATTCCGCTGCAATTCCTGTGCCCGCCGCCCGTGGATTGGCTGTGTGCCCGTGCCCGGGTGCCCGGGTGCCGGTCGATTGCCCGTGTGCCCGTGTGCCTGTGTGCCCGTGATTTGGCTGTGTGCCCGTGTGCCCGGGTGCCCGTGTGGCGGTAGCGTTTTGGAGCTGGATTGGAGCATTTTGGAGCTGGATTTTCGCATTTGGGCAGGCCCCAGCTGGTTCTTAAACCGCTGACATAGGAAAGACTGGAAACGGCCATTTGGGCAAAATCGTGGTGAGGAGTCTTTTGGAGATGGATTTTGGGATTTGGGCAAGTCTTAAAAAGGGGTTTTAAATAAACCCCTTTTCGTGCATCATTTCACGCTGCACCAGACACTGTAACATGCAGTCGTTTTGGATTTAAAGCAACTTTTTCCATACACCAAAAACGGTTTTGCGCAGTCTAAAATGATTTCATCCAGAGCATGACTGCATGATACAGCGTCTTGTGCAGCGTGAAATGATGCACGAAAAGGGGTTTATTGAAAACCACTTTTTAAAGCCTCTTGCAGCAACCGTGACTGAGGCTGAAATGAAACATACCAATTTTGGTGGACTACAGGGACATCTCCCTCATGGAGAGTGTGCCTCTACTGTGACATCTCCCGCCAGTGCTGAACAAAAGTGGTGTAGCGTTTTTTTTCCTTTCCCACTACACTACCTTTCGTCCGCCTCTGCTTGCTCTCAAGTGTTTTTTTCCCAAGCAGCGTAAGCTAATGGGGCCTTCAGCCCAGAATAGCTCCGGTGTGCACTGGTGCAGGCGCCGGGCCCGGTTCAACGAGGTTCCGGAGAAGGTTCCGGAGAAGGTCTGGCAGGCTTTGGTGCAAAGCCAAGTCAGGTTCAACAGGGTTCCGGAGAAGGTTCCGGTGAAGGTCTGGGAGGAAACAAGGTTCCGGAGAAGGTTTTCGGGAGGCTTTGGTGCAGAGCCAGGGCAGGTTCAACAGGGTTCCGGAGAATGTTCTGGAGAAGGTCTGGGAGGCTTTGGTGCAGAGCCAGGTCAAGTTCAACAAGGTTCCGGAGAAGGTCGGGGAGGCTTGGTGCAGAGCCAGGTCATGTTCAACAGGGTTCCGGAGAAGGTTCCGGAGAAGGTCTGGGAGGCTTCGGTGCAGAGCCAGGTCAAATTCAACAGGGTTCTGGAGAAGGTTCCGGTGAAGGTCTGGGAGGAAACAAGGTTCCGGAGAAGGTTTTCGGGAGGCTTTGGTGCAGAGCCAGGTCAGGTTCAACAGGGTTCCGGAGAAGGTTCCAGGTGTGGGAGGCTTTGGTGCAGAGCCAGGTCAGGTTCAGCAGGATTTGCGGCCATTGAATTGACGGAAACCCAGCTGAGGTGTTTCCAGCGCTTGGTTTCGCAGCACGCTTCAGAAAGATTTGTAAAAATAAAACGTTGCGGCTGTTGGGGATACCACCGAAGCTTATTTTAAGAGCCACGTACTGTATTAAGCCAGTCACTATCTGGTTCAGGGACTTGTGTTTTGCCAGGAAAGTCCTTCGAATGCTTCCCTGGTGGTGAAATGGAGCATGGTGATGCTGAATGCCAGATCCAAAGTTCCCTTTCGTACTTTGGAGTCCTTTGATTCCATGTGGAGTTGCAACCTTTGAAAAGGGAGGACCAGTACTCAGTACAATAGTTTACAGATTCAAAAGCTACAGGTGGGGGATAGCAGCTCCACAGAACTAGTCTTAAGCACGTTCGGTGTGGCAGCATGTTGTGGCCTGAAAATGTGAGACTAGAAGTGTAGACATTATTTTTTTACGATTCAGGAATATGAGACTTTCCAGAGCAGGTTCCGCGGATCGAGTTGCAGATTTGGCAATGACCTTACTGAATTTTCCAACATCTTTGAACCAAGGCAGTCGGTTTCTTTCTTTTTGAAATTGATGACACGCGCCATGAAAACAACTTTCATTCATGTCGCGATTCTGAAAGTAGCTGCCTGTGCTGAGTTCCTGCAGCTGCCACTGCGGAATGGAGTGCTGCTGTCAGGGGTGTTGACCAGAGACCCACCGAAGGCTCGAATTTGGAAAGTCTGGGACGTCTGGAAAAGCTGCAAACTTTGCAAACAGATTCACAAGATGCTTATTTAACTCGTTGAGAATCCTCATTGTAATCATTGTATGTCATTGTAGTCTATATCCCCAACAAACACAATCAGTCCCTGTACAAACGTGTTGGCTACGGAAGGGGCACAGTTTTTTTTTTGTAGGCACGGGTAAGACATTATGTGGACAATTGAAGAGACGCGGCTAAACAATGCTACATACATTCAAGTGGCTTGGCAGTTGCCCCTTGGCTACAAAGCTGAAGCTAAATGTCGTTTGAATTTTATAAAGCAGGAATTTTGATGGATTTTGTGATTTTAGCTTTCCTGCACCACTTGGCTTCACATTGCCTATATCGTGGCGCTGCCCGTGGCCATGCCTGGCAGCAATGTGAGAAAGTCTAGAGCGCATGCTGCAAACATTCACTCAGTCCTTTTGACTTGTGACAAGACATTCCTTTTTTGTTTTTTTAACTTTTTTACATTCCTGTTTTACATTCCTCTTTGCATTCCCTTACCGAAACATCCCGCGAATTGACACAGATCCATTGACCTGGGAACGAAACCAGCCCTGAAGACTTGATCAACTCATGGAAGCTGCTAAAATAGGAACGAAGAAGTCAGAGATCACAGAGATCTTGAATCTTGACTCGTCGGCAACTAGAACCTGTGTCTGGGTATGTCTGGGTCATGTAGATCTGTCTCTGATCTACTTATGTATTTGGGTATTAATTATTTGGTCCTCTCTTCTACTTTTCCGCTTGAACCCATGGCATGAACCGCTAGGGTCAGCACAGCTTTAGATGGCAGTACTTCCTTTGCCATCCTCTTGTTGATTTTCCATATGCTGTATGCTCCAGCTGTGTCAAGGGAATCTGAAAATAACATTTAGTGGATTGTTATTGAGACTAAAGTCATGACATAGTGTTGCAGTAGTACTGCTCTAGTGTATTTTTTGCATGTGCTGCGTTCCCTGATTTTATTGAAGTGCGCATGACCATGCTGACCAACATGTACTTTCTGCTGCAAGATAGGATTGAACATGTACATACGATATCTGACTTATTCGCTTTCGAACAAGAAGAACAACAAGAACAAGAACTAGAACAAGAACAACAAGAACAAGAACAAGAACAAGAATAAGAACAACAACAGCAACAGCAACTGCAACAACAATGTATATAACTTTTCTTGCAAACGCAGTAGTTTCGATTCAATCAATCGAATGATGTATCGTATCGGGGTCGTTTGAGAACAGTTTTTTTTAAACAACCCTATCTCTGCCCCATTGTGCACAGCTGCTTTTCCTTCTCAACCTAGTACTACTAATGACTTACTAGTGTGAACAAAGGGGAAAGGAAAAAACTGGTACCAGATTGTTGTCACGATGCAGGATTGAGGGTCTGAAGCTGCAAATACAAAATTATGCAAACTCAAAAAAGGCACATAAAAGTTTCCTGTTGTTCATGCCGCTTTCATGCTTGAGAGGAAATGGCTTTATTTTCCACTGGCTTTGGGGGGCTCTCAATTAAAGAGTTCGCTCCGCAATCATACGGTATGTAGAGGAGTAGAGAAAAATCGGCGCTTGTTCACTACGAACAAAGCACCCTACTCCTGACTTGTTTCGCGTTTCAAGGCTAGACACAGTTTCAAAATCACCACTTACTGACTGACTAAAGCAACTGTCAGAAGGAATTGCATGGAAAATGAGACAAAAAGGATTTTTGGAGGGTGTAGCATGTCTGCATGTACATATTAGAGACATGTATGTATGTAATGTAATTGCCAAAGGATTGCAGGCGATACAGGTTAGTTACATGCATTGTCACATAGTGCGTTAACAAACCAGTTGGGTCATGCGATTGTATGGCTCAAGACTGCGCCGATCAGAGGAAAAACATGGCGTCCTTGCGCTGCGGCGGACTTCGGGAGCTGTAAGCTGCACACGAGAACCATTGGGACATCTACCATTTAACCAAAGTAAAATAGCCTACCCGGAACAGGCAGGTTATCAGCCGTATCGCCGCTGGTAGGTCTGCGTCGCAGACTCCCACTGGCATACGTGCTGCACTTCGTGGAGAAGAACGAAAGTTGAATCTTATCCGGTCCACTTTGGTAGTGCGGGTGATACCTGTAAAATGTAAAAGCAGGTTCCAGCCTGGGGGGACCAGGCAGCTCTGACCAGGCGTTGAAACTGGTCTGGGGCTATGCGCATGTCACACAGTGACCGATCCAAAGCAGACCTGAGGGTAGCAGGTGAACCAGGCGGCTGAAGGCAGAAGGTGATTAAAAGATGAGAGTGCGGCGAGAGTAGTATGAGGAATCATGTTGTCACTTTGAGATGTATGCATGTATGCATGCATGTATGTATGTATGAATGTATGAATGTATGAATGTATGTATGTATGTATGTATGTATGTATGTATGTATATATGTATGTATGTATGTATGTATGTATGTATGTATGTATGTATGTATGTATGTATGTATGTATGTATGTATGTGTGTATGTATGTATGTATGTATGTCATGTCATGTCATGTCATGTCATGTAATGTACGGTAATGTGATGTAATGTAGTGTAGTGTAACGTAATGGGTGTTATGTTATGTTATGTAATGTAGCGTCATGTAATGTAATGTGATGTAATGTAACGTAATGTAATGTAATGTAACATAATGTAATGTAATGCAATGTAATGTAATGGAATGTAATGTAATGTACGGTAATGTAATGCATATAATGTAATGTATGTACTGTAATGTAATGTAATGTACTGTACTGTAATGTAATGTAATGTAATGTAATGTATGTATGTATGTAATGTATGTAATGTATGAAATGTATGTATGTAAAGTATGGTTATGTATGGTAATGTAATGTCATGTAAGGCAATGTAATGTAATGTATGTATGTGTGTTTGGTATGGTATGGTACGGTATGGTATGGCATGGCATGGCATGGCATGGCATGGTAGGTAGGTAGGTAGGTATGTAGGTAGGTAGGTAGGTATGTAGGTATGTAGGTATGTAGGTATGTAGGTATGTAGGTATGTAGGTATGTAGGTATGTAGGTATGTATGTATGTATGTATGTATGTATGGTATGTATGGTATGTATGGTATGTATGGTACGTATGGTACGTATGGTACGTATGGTACGTATGGTACGTATGGTACGTATGGTACGTATGGTACGTATGGTGTGTATGGTATGTAGGTATGTAGGTATGTAGGTATGTAGGTATGTAGGTATGTAGGTATGTAGGTATGTAGGTATGTAGGTAGGTAGGTATGTAGGTAGGTAGGTATGTAGGTATGTATGTATGTATGTATGTATGTATGTATGTATGTATGTGTGTGTATGTGTGTATGTATGTATGTATGTATGTATGTATGTATGAATGTACGAATGTATGAATGTATGCATGCATGCATGCATGCATGTATGTATGTATGTATGTATGTATGGTATGTATGGTATGTATGGTATGTATGGTATGTATGGTATGTATGGTATGTATGGTATGTATGGTATGTATGGTATGTATGGTATGTATGGTATGTATGGTGTGTATGGTGTGTATGGTGTGTATGGTGTGTATGGTATTTATGGTGTGTATGGTGTGTATGGTATGTATGGTGTGTATGGTATGTATGGTATGTATGGTATGTATGGTATGTATGGTATGTATGGTATGTATGGTATGTATGGTATGTATGGAATGTATGGTGTGTATGGAATGTATGGATGTATGGATGTATGGATGTATGGATGTATGGATATATGGATGTATGGATGTATGGATGTATGGATGTATAGGTGTATGTCTGTATGTATGTCTGCATGTATGTCTGCATGTATGTATGTATGTATGTATGTATGTATGTATGTATGTATGTATGTATGTATGTATGTATGTATGTATGTATACAAATAGAACATAGTATAGAGACAAGTAGATAGATGCCGGCATGCGTGACCTTGAGTCACAGATAATGTGTTTCAATTGCCACAGCTAATGCGGGTTTTGACAGCGAAATTTGCTTGCAGGTCCACCTGCTGCCTCCACCAGCCATGCCACCTCTCGCCATTGTGCCAAGAGTGCTGCTTGCAATGATTCAACCAAGAATGCGTCATTTGTTTTGGATGTTTTGGATGCACTGCATTCACTACAGGGTCACTTACTCACGTGCTTTTTGATTGAGTAACAGGATGGTGCAGCTTGCGTGCCGTTCACGGAAGTGGAGAATCCCAAGAACTCAGAGGTGTTGAGGCCACAATTGGCATCGAGCGCAATATGCCCAGCATGTTTCATGGCGTTTCGTCGTGTCAAGGCGCTTTCATCCCGGTCCTTTGCAACCAGATTCAGCATCCGGAAAAGCGTTGGGGAAGTCGCTACAGCGAGCACCGGAGGACACAGCTTGAGTCGGGGTTGTTGCATGCTCGGCGGCTGGCGTGCTTGTGTTTCAACATGTTTCAACTATTCACTCTGCTCCTTGTGTGCGAGCGGTCCATACTGTAGACACTTCTTAGTCAGTTTGTGCAGAGTATGCCAAGCAAGTGGAGTGAGGTTGTTACCTACAAAACGCAGTCCCAAACAATTTCTCCCCAACAGATGTTGTTTTCTCTCTGGTTCATCGTCCTACAGGTTTCGGGGGAAATGTTGACAAACCCTCCCAACGTTTATTTTAGCAGAGTCCTGAAGAGGTCAAGAGCCACAATGTTAGAAATTGTGGAAAGGAATCCGTCCCTTTGTGCCTCGTGCAGTGAGGAGTTTGAAATCCTAAGCAGATACGAGCACTTGCGCGCTGCGACAAGCAGTTGCCTTCTGAGTTTGCAGCGAGTCTTGTGGTGTGTGAAGAACTGTGAAGAGCAGAATCGAGCAAATGCGCTGAGAACATCTCAGAAACACAACCGTCACTTCGCATCACTTTGCAACCTTGCTAGGATCCTCTCCTTCAGAAGAGCAGGTCGGAGCCGGGAGCGCCTTGGGAATCCTTGGGATATATCGATATGATATAACCTTATGATGCATTATTCGCCTGGCTTTTCTGCAGTTTGCTTGCCCCTGCCTTTTTCCTGAAAAAACATGCCACCTTATGATTACGGCTTTTAGCCATGCAACAGTTTCTTCCCTCACTCAATGCATTCCAAAGTCAAGCTTAATGTTTCAATGTGCGAAGGCAGAAGTGCTTTTGCTTGATGTCTACATGCGCTTCCAAAGCGAGACCGGGGCTCCGCCAAGGCTAGACCCTTTGCCAAACCGATGCTTCTTGTCCGACGGGTAGCTTTGTGGATGTTGTGATATGGTACATACAGAGTCACAGAGTACAGTACAGATTCGAAGGCCGAGCGCAGAGAGCGAGGAAGCATATGACCTGCGCCTTGCACATTTGCATTTGCGAAATTTTGCGAAAAGTTTCGTGATAAGTGATCGAGCACTTGGCACCCTGAAGTTCACAGGTACATTCACACATGCAGGGATGTCTCAATGAAGGCCAGTGCGCGACCTCCAGATGCGGTAGACAAACACTTAAAAAGAGGGAACAGAGAGACAGAGAGAGAGAGAGAGAGAGCCATCAACAAGAAAACCACCGATGACAAAGAAATGCGCAGGCTTTGCATCGCACGTGCAGCCCAGATTTCTGCATGATTGCGGAGGTCTGCGTGCAGTTGATGAGCCTGAATCTGTGAAGAGGATGTGATGATTTGAAAATTGAGGTTGCTTCTTCCAGGGTTCCAAGTGCACACTTCGACGCATACATATTGGTATGTATGTATTAGTCTGATCTGCACGTAGATGTACATGTACATGTGCTATGATGCACATACCCGCTCATACCCACACACACATGTAGATGATCGTAGGTGTATAGACGGACACAAACACATGTGTATATGTATATAAATATATATGTATATTGACGTTTATTACAATATGATATCATATAGACATGTGTGTATCGATATACAGGTATAAACACTCACAATCAGACAAGAAACACACATGCATCCTCGCACGTATGTGCCACGGTCAAAACCCCACATTGGGGAATGCTGATCAAACCATTCCTGGGGATTTCTATATCCCTGATAAGAATTCCCATCATGGGATGTATGACCATCACCCATATACCCAAACATACATATGTATATCCAGGCAAACAGACGAGCATGAACCAATACATCATGAATGTATAGGTACATTATATGACATATGTACAGATATGCTTATATAATTATATACTTGCTAATTTACCTCCAGATGTGTCTGCAGATCTCCCTGACATTTTCTATGTGTTTTTTTTGCTGTGGTCTTGTGCAACGCGAGGTGTTGCTTTGGAATTTCAAGGACTATCTAAAGTTTCAACGAAACATTACAGAGAAATTTCAAAAGGATCGTCAGTTTTTTTTATCCTTGACTCGTTGATGCCCTTTGTCACCCAAACGCCGACAAAACCTGATTGCGTCGCCGAGGGTAATGTGGCTAACGATTCTTTAAAGAGTTTCTGTCGCTCTTCTGTTGACTTAAAGCTTTAGTTCACTCTGCGCAAACAAAGTAAAGTTTCCTTGTGACAGCATAGACAATTGTAAAGCAAACACGCGCGCTACCTGAAACTGTTGAATGTAAAAGAAAGAAAACAAATGTATGAGATAAAATTCTTCAAAGTACTTTTTCTGGAGCCCAAAAAAGATGCGACTTGCTGGTTGCCAGCGATTTTCTTCAGACATCCTTTTAAACCTTTGCACAAATTTTGCCAAGAACATCTTGCATGGGATTTTGCTGGAGGTGCACGTGCACTGTGTGCAAAGAGTCTTGCAGAGTTTTGCAGGCCCACGTTCTTGGTTTGGCCAAAAATTCTGGATTTCCGAGGCATGGACAGAGCCAATCATTAGAATTTGTGTTTTGGCTTGAACATCTTGAACTGCAGGCTCAGGCAGAATGATGCACGAGCAATGTATGCGAGTGCACCTGGCTTAGTGTGTTTGACATATCAACATTGCGAAGGGCTGCGATTTTGAACCCCCTACCAAAACTGTTTGAGAGGTGTAGATTATTGTAGTAATATAGTGGCAGGATGTGGCAGAGTGCCCACACAAACGGATGTGGCAAAACGTGAATGGGTCGCCTCGCCAGCCCTATATTGATCGAAGTGATTTTCAGCTGTTGGAACAGACCCTGCTTGTAGCTAGAATCTAGTGCTTCAGCATCACTTGCTGCACCCATTCTCAGTCTTCTCTTCAGATATTTATCCTACTGATATGAGATCCCCTTTAGCACAAAGAGACTGGGGCAGGTTTGGTATAGGACATGACGACTACAGTCATGCTCATGTCGAGAGAAAGCATTCACACAGAAATTTTGCAGCGGCTAACTCTCTCTCTCTCTGTGTTTGTGTGTGTGTGTGCATGTGCATGTGCGTGCGTGCGTGTATTCAGTATAATATGAACATGCTGCAGATTCCTGCAACAACTGAGAGCTGCCCTGGGCAAGAATTAAAGAACCAAGTGAGGCCATGCGGTTTGGCTATGCAGTGCGACAGGCCGAGATTCGACATCAGGCACTGCTCGAGCAATCATTTCTGGCACTCTGAACATGGCAAAGCAGGACGCCTTTCCTTTTGTTTCAGTGCATGTTTTTCCTTTCTGTTTGCGCCCAGAGTTACACCACTCATCAGACTTGACTTGAACGTACATGACCTACCCAAATTGTGTGCGAGGCAGATGGTGCTGTCGGCACTTTTGTTCCCTTGCCTGTGGAATCTGAGATGTGTCGCAAGGTGTGGAACGTCTCGTTTTTCTCGTGCTTTATCGTTTTTTGATGCTTTGGATTCCGAACCTATGGATCCAAATTAAGCGGCGCCTACTTTCATTTCAATGTTTAGTTCGAAACGGTTCGTGTGCTTTGTTTGCACTGCCAAGATATGCCCAAAGTCTTCGTGTCAGGGTCAGGCCAGCTTGGCCCCGCCCTGTTTCACAGTCTTGTGACAGGTACTCGCGCCAGTTCAAAGCATGGGCGTAAGTTGCACACAAAAAGGTAAAACCTTCCGTTAAATGCCAGAATCGCCTTTATCACGGGGCTCACAACTAAGCAGGGCTACAGTTGCATGCAGAGCTTTCATTGGGAGAATTTTACTGCGCATAAAACATCGTAACAATCGCTAAAAATTGAAGGCTGTTCAACCCTGAAACATTTGAAGCATCTACAACATTTGAAGACTAAAGGGTAAACTTAAACCCGACCCCTAGACGGCCATCGCCAAATAGACTTTTGTTATCTTTTGTTGCTGTTTTTGTCTTCTTGGGGGAGGGCAATAACGTTTTGTCTTGGTACGTTTCTTTTTTTGTGTTTGCATCTGATTGCGCACATACATGTGCATTACGTGCATTACGCCACTTGCTCTTTCTCCTGCTACGTTCCCACAGGGTTGTTGTCATGCTCCTTGCTTTGGACGCTGCTACGTTGCCATAGGGCTGTTACGTTACTTGCCCTACTTCTTTTTGGCAAAATGCGCCGCAAGAGTGGGATGAGTCAGATCCACTGATCTTCAAATATCACTTATACAACCCAAATCATGAAAAATATGAAAAAGTGAAGTAGTTTTGAGATTTTCAAATATGAAATTTCAGGACTGAAAGGAAAAATAGCAAAGATTTTACTGCAGCGAACCGATAGTGTTCCAAAAGATGGCCTGACAACAACACGGCCGTCTGGGGGTCGGGCACCTAGAGTTGGGGCGGCTTGGCATGCAACCAAGGCTTTGTCGAAAACGGGATGGCTTAAGGGCTTGGGGGACGTTGGTAGGAGACCTTAGTTTTTTTTTAAAACAACGGCTTCAAAGTTCATTTTTCACCACTTAAGCGCAATGCTTTTCAAACTAGTAGCCAGTTTTTTCTTTTAGTTTCTTTTAGTTTCCTCTCCTAAACGCTGGGTTTTGGTTTGGCTTTTCAAGATGTGTCGACTCCGATAATTCCCTGGACACCCCCAGGAGCTGGAAAGTCTCTGGATGCAGCCGGCAGTTTCAGGCTGCCACGAAACAGAAACGAGAACGATACAGAAAACCACAGCCGCTTCGGCCGCTTCGGCTCTGACCGGCAGGTTCCACACAAGATTTAGATGCCGGCCAGGCACGAAGTCAAGAAGCAATCCTGAAATATCATGAAGAGTTTATTTTTGAACATGTTTGAACAACTATGGCAACTATGGTAACTATGGTGCGTCGTGAGGTTCACACTTGCTCAGGGAGACAAAGGATGTCTGTCCATGCTTTTGGTCTATTTTTTAGTGACATCAGGATGCTCATCAAGCCACACTTCACAGTGTTGGCTACCTGTTACATGAAGACAAAGATGAGGCCTTGGGATCTTTGCCTGAAATTGTGGCAATGCTTGAATTTCTCTGTGGCAGACACGCAAGGAGCCATCGCTGGAATCAGACAGTCTGGGCCTCACACCCTGTTTTACTGCCAGTTCACAGAGTTCCAAAGTAGTCGCAGTGGTCGTATGTCGGTCATATTTGATATCCTGGCCTCTGTGAGAACTGCATGGCTATGCTGTGGCTACTTAGTTGCTACATGTTGGCCTTGTTGAGAGGTGCTGCTGCACACCGAAGCTTGAAAGAGGCATGCAAAACTAGTTGAAGTGCCAATCATCGTGGAGAGTGCCAACAATATGATTGATGCAAGAATATCCGAAATCAAGACCTTTGTTCCTATTTGTGTCGCATGTGCTGGATTGTGATGGGTCGTGATGGTCGGGAATTCTTCAGGGTTGCTGTCTTGCATGCTTTTGGGAGTTATGCTTCCTCTGCCAAGGCAGAAACAGCAAAGTCCACACATTCCATGTGGTCCAAATTGCGAAATCTCGGGGTGTCCACTTCTACGCTCTGTTACACTTTGTTACCGCTGCGTAGGTCTTTTCCAGATTGAAGAGAATGGGTGAGGCTAAACCAGGACTTGCTACGTGCTTGCCTTGATGGATGGCGCGAATGCCATTCATAGCGCTAATGGCGTATTCATTTCAAAGCGTTTAGGATGGGGTCATCGACCAATGCATGAATCGATTTGCATCAATGTATATCAATGTGAGGTACTTGGGCTGGCTAGGCAAATTTGATCCTGATGTGCTAGACTCAGAGCCAGCGTCGCTTCCCTTTCGGCTTCAAGCCAAGCTGCGAGGCTCTCACCATCTTGTCAACTCCCTCGCATATCGTTGCATGGGCGATGAAGTTGCAGGCGGTTGCCATCGCACTGCCCCCTGGAGTTTTTGACAGTTTTTGGCTTGTGTGGAACGATGGAAATGCATGGAAATGCAATGAGGTTGCAGAATGTAAGCTCCTAAACCACGCATCAACGCAAGACCATACCTCCAGCATCATGAGTGTTGCCTCTTGAAGTGCAAATCACCAGCTTGCTCTTCCATCTCAGGACAACCAGCAGGCGTAAACAGGAGTTTTGAATCACTAGGTTTACTACATGATGCATCTTCCTAATATCTATTACTAAAGGATACTGGTGCAGAGCTTTTGCAATATCCCGTTGGGGAATTTGTAGCGAATCACTTTTATGGTTTTGAGGCACATGGACGTTGCAGGTACTGCAACTGCTGCAAGGACTATTTCATTTCACCATTTCACCTGTTTAAGATAAGGTTTCCAAAGCCTCTTCCTCTGGTGACAATTGAAATGATACCCAAAGAAAACATAAGAAAACTGTGATCTTGAACTTCGTGATACAAAGTCTCAGCCTTTCTGGGAGGCTGACGCAATTTGGGGCAAAGCTGACCAGGACATAGCCAAGAAACATGACCGAGAACTGACGCTTTCTTGTTTGGATTGTTCAGACATATTTTGAAATGCTAATGAAATGCTTCTCAGCATGGTTACATGGTTAGCAATGCGAAACAATTGAAGGCACTGGCTGACGAAATTGTAGCATCCACTCCCGCGGACATGCTCGAGGTGGCCGGACCTCGACAGACCCGACAACACTTCCATTAGAGTCATTAGAGGTTTTGACCCAGTGAAATGTCAAGTATGCAAAATACAGATAGATATATAAATGAGAAATACAGATCATTTGGATTCATTTGGTTTCGGGGGTCTATGTTACGTAGATTTACGTAGCATATGTTCACGCGTACTGCATGGGGCAAACAATGCACAGAAGTAGACACAGACACGTGCACAAAATTGCACAAGTGCACATACTATGATAATACTGTACTGGCGTGTAAATTTCTGCAGAGTATTGTAGAGTCTTGTTGGGATTCTTGTTTCTGTGAGCATTCGCTCGGTTGGAGCCAGGCCATTCTATTTGGAGCCTGGCTTCATGATGCGGAAGTCAGCGCAGAAGAATATTTGAACCAGCACGGGCAGTATGGGCCTTGGATTACTTTGTTAAACATCTTGAACGTGAAAGTCCGTGAAAGTGAAACGGTGAAAGACAGTGAAACAGATCTTTGCTTTGGGTTGCAAGGATGGATGAAGGTGAAGGCAGCACCGCTTTGTTGACTGAGCACAGAATGCAACAGATTTCTACATACTAAAGTTTAATAAAGTTGCATTTAAAAATTTGGCATGGTGCATTCTGTTCTTTTGGTATTTCTTCAGAATAAACTGCGGCAGGGTGTGCTGATCAATCTGGATGAACAACTGGCAATCGTTGTGCAAGCCGGTGAGCTAGTGCTAGCTAGCTGCTAGCACTCGCGGTTCTTTGTTCCCTGGTAGTTCGTTCCTGATTTTGTTCCCGTCCACACTAGAACAGTGTGTGTTCAACCATTTTCCATGAACGGCTCTTGTTGTTTGGGATGTCTTTGTTGAATGTCAAAATCTCTATAACAAGTTAGTCAGCAAACTGGACCCGCAGTCAAGAAATGCACAAACCTTGATCATTCCTAGAGGGAGCGTCCGTGGCATGTGCACCTTTTGTAGACCATTTGGGTTTTGGGATTTCTGATGGAGATGAATGCACTTACTTTATCTTACTTTTTGATTGACTGGCTACAACACATCTTTGATCGGTTTGACAGAGATGGCAAGGCTTGGCAAGGGTTCCACCAAGAGCCTTTCACAGAATTCAACTGCACTGCATCTGCAATGAAATGTTCTAAGCCTCTGTTCGTCCTCCAGGGCATCAGACTGTAGCTGCAGGAATGCTCGCTTTGCAATTTAAGAGCAGCATATCTGTAGCTTTGCTTCTGGGCAGAGGTCCACGGTGAAGACCGGAAGCAAAATTAATTAATGTACATGAAAACGAAATAAAAACAATAAAACGCATAAATAAAGTTTCAAGCCTAGTCAGAATGGGCTGGATCCTGCGGATCGAGGTGTAAAAACCCTGCCTGATTGCAATCTGAATCATGCCGCATGATTCGACAAGGGCCAATAGAATATGTCTGATGATCACAGCTTTATGCGGTCAAAGCAGAAACCTTCCGATGACACGCGCAACTTCTGAATCCATTCAAGCTTGCATCCGAGCATTCCTCCAAGATCCAAGGACCAGAGGCAAAGTTGCCAACAGCATGGAGATCCAACAATCCTGTTTTGTCACTTTTGTAACTTTTGTCCGTGATGAGTCTTTCTATTCCTTCGGCTTTGAAATCATGGAGGCTCTACCAATGGCTGTTGTAGCTGTTCGCCGTCCACGAGATTTCCCAGAGGCCAAGACACGTTGAGAGTTGAGACAGTGTTGCTTCCGTCAAAAGCTGTCCGATGATATGGTCCAAGCTCTTGTATGTGACTGGCAGATGGGAACACTGTTGAACTGCAAGCCGTGTCAGCTTCTCAGTTCTGGAGTCTTTGACAGGACCTGTACTCCGTTGCTGTAAAATGCCACGAGTATGCAACCTGACTAGGTTTGACATAAGTCCTTAGTCCCTTAGTCAGTCCTTGGTCACATTGGTCCATCTTTACTCCACTGAAGAAATGCCAGCCTTGGTGATACCTAGGACAGATTTCTGGGACGTAAAGTTCCTTTCTAGGTCATGATGGAATATGATGATAGAATAGGTGTCAACAGTTACTACCTTGCTAAATTATTGCTTGAGCAAATACACTCACCGTTCCAAGATGGTAGCATCACTGCCTGCTCTTGATCAGAAGCAAATGCTGCTGTCCCACACTGACACTTGAAAATGCCATTGCAGTGTGGCTGATTTAACAGAATTTAACATTTGGAAAAGAGCCGTCCAAACAAGTCCGCAATTTGTCTGAGGCTCCCAGGTGTTTGTTGAAAACATGCAAGAGGGAACTGGAACTGTAAGCTTCGGGATCCCAAATCATACTACACTCTGAGCAAGCCAAGCAAGCAGGCCAATGCAAAGGAACATCAGCTGCCTCTTAATTTATAGATTGCTAAGCTGGACACAGTCAATTGACCACAATCAACTGGCCACAGCTAGTCTTTGTCAAGGGCGTGTGTCGCCAGGAAAGGAATGCTTGAAAAGCTGCACTATGGCACTATGGAGAGAAAGAGAGAACGAAAACGATTCTCTCTCTCTCTTTTTTCCTGAATGTGTATGTACATATGTGTATATATATATATTTATAAATATTATAATATATTAATATATATATATACATATGTACATACACATACAGTACATACCGTACCAAAACACGTATTTGTGCCCATACCCGAAAGAATGTATAAACGGGGCACATGTTTGACTATTGTGACTGCACCGTCACTGACTGTGACGTACAATTTTGCATTTTGAAGAGAGGCCAGACCCTGAATGCAATGAAGCCTTCTAAGGTGGAAGCTCTCAGCTTCGAAGACCGCAGGCTTGGAGTCCTTAGAACCCTTAGCCGCCTTAACCTTTTGTTGTTTTGTCTAAAAAACATATAGCATTTTCATTGAATCCATTGCAACGCTTTTGAAAAAAATCAGTTGAGCCTCAGAGTTTTGATCCTCCAGATCTGGATGTGAAAAATGCAGCTGTGCTGTTTTGTCTACCTTGTTTTGCTCAGTCGAGGCGGCGCCAGCAGGTTGGACAATGTGCGAATGTGAAGCAGACAAGGAATAGAGTTGGCTGAGTTTGTCCATTTGATTTTAATTTCGCAACAAGTAGCAACACCTGGAGTCTTTCAACAACATTCCAAAGTTTTGTTGTTGAATTCTTGTCGAGGACTGGATTCTTTGTGATCGGGTTGACGCAATGGCAGCAGCTTCCCTATTTATCTGGCCACGTTTTTGATCTTTTTTGTATTGGAACTTTGACTTGAAAGCTCTTTACCATAGGCTGAAATCGCTGATTGCATTCGACAAGAATTGTGCAAAGACGAGGCGCAAAGCTCAGGTCCTCCTTCTGTGTGGGTTTTGTTTGATTTATTTTGATTTCAGATATTTCAGATACTTAGGATTCACAACTGATCACAGTTTGCCAGCTCTGCGCAGAAAAATAGCGATGCCGAAGAGAAAGTGAACATGAAGGAGGTGCGCACGCAGCAAACAGGACAAGCTTGGTTTGCAAATGTTGCAGCCACCAGAAGCAAAGAGGGTCGTGTGCGGCTAGTTTGTGAAGTGTGAAGAAGAGGAAGAAGAACAAATTAGCTGACATTGTTTTTGAACCGACTAATCCCTTGTAAAAAGTACTTCCGTTTGAATCAATCTGAAGCACACAGTTTTGACCGGCACGACTCTACATGGATTTGTCAATCTCCTTCTCATGAGAATCTTAGATTCATATATATATAATATATATATAATATATATAATATATATATATAATATATAATATATATATATAAGTGTTGTTGTGGATGCAGATTCGGTATATTCCGTTCGTTCCCTTAATCTTTCATTAGAATCTGCTCCTCCCCACCTGTGCCTGCCATTCCCCCCTACTTGACAAGCACCCTTCCACCCTTCCCACACGCACATGTCACTGCTAAAGACAACACGCCCAGACTACTGCACGTGCACACCACCCAACCGCATGCCCGTCCGCATGTATCATTGGGCTTATCCCCGCGCCCATTTCGAAGAGAGAGAGAGAGAGAGAGACGCAAATGTGTTTTCACCGGTTTCGCCTAAATTTCGACTGTACTACTAAGAGGGAGGCGTCCACACACACACACAAACACACATTTTTGAAGTATCCTGCATTGTCTGTCAGGATGCACAAGCAGATTCTGGGAATCAATATTCGCAAAGTTCATGTGATGCAATCCAAGCTTGCGATTCAGCTGATCGGCAGCGCGCAACCACTCTCCGCTGGTCCACTTGTGAGAGAGATTGAATTGCATTGCTTGCCTCTCCTGCTGTATGGTTTGATACCGTTGCCCTTGCAGCAAGTTTTGCCCATAGTAAACAGTCAGTTCAAAAGTGACAAATACGGGCCCATGCTAGATCAGGCAACATTGCGGTTTGCTGAAATTCAGCTTGCAGAGCAGAGCAATTCCGAGGCTGGAAACACACAACCATGGAGACTGATTTGCGACTGAGTTCTATCCTGCTTGCTTGACCTTTTTGAAGCAACAGCAGAGCCAAGCAACTAGGGCAGGAGGCAAGAGCCACAAGCGGGTACAGCAGGTCAAGCCAGGATATTCAGCTTGCACTGACTCAGACATTACAGGGCTGTCATGATCGTGATGAGGAAAGGTTGTTTTGCTGGCCTTGCAGAACTCATGAAGCAGCGCAAGTAGATGTGTTAGTGGGAATAGCAAAAGAAATATCAACGAGTTGTATTGAGTTGCTTTGTCACAAGGTGCGCAGAATAATACACTTGAGAATTGAAGCAGACCATTCAAACAAACGGGTGACACACGCAGTGAGTCATGTTGTGAACAATACATCAGACTCTCATAAACCATAGAATACCAAGACCATGACAAACGATCTATATCTCTCCATTGAATATTGAATCCACAACTCTGCTTGATCATACCGCTTTGATTCCCGACTCTCTTTCTTTGCAGGAACAGACTGAGCCTAAGGAGATGGCACCCGAGGGAATGGCTCGTAAGGATGAATTGCACATGTTCTTTTGATCATGTTTTTCATTGTTTTTCAGTGTTTTTTCATTTTTTCTGCACAGCGGCACACTGTGTTTTCTGGCCCTTGGCTTGGTGGATATTGGCTTCGGTTTAGCCCAGCTCAAGGACGTTGCTAAAAGAGAGATGACGCGCGCAAGGGCCTCAAGATCTTTCATTTGTGCTCTAAGCAGCAAAGTGTACCACCACCATCTACCAACATTTCTTTCAACAGCTTCAAATCAATCTATAGAGCAAATCTATTTTGGTATTTTGCATACTGTATATTCTTCTGGTTTAGCACTCGTGTCCTTCACCGTTCATTTTGTCAGTTCATTGTGCTGAATTGATGGAACATGTTCTTCTATGCATTTCCGTTTCAATGGTGTGTCTTCCAATCTTCAAAGCTATTTGTACCCGCAGCACCTGCGCTACGCCCCGCAGGTACTTTGTTTGTATGTACACTTTCATAGGGTTTTTTCAAGGTTTGTCCAGGGTTTCTTTAGGGTTTCTTTATATAGGTGTTTTTTTTCCTTTTAAGGTTTATGTAAAAAGCAGGGCAAACCCAATTTCGGGGTAATGTTGTCTGACCAATAGTGATATCTTGTCAATAGTAGAAACATTTTTCCGCAACTCCAATTTTTCTCCAATACTAAAAGTCAATTAGCTCTATTTACTTTTAGTATTGCCAAAAGAGTCATGTTCAGACCTTGTCCAGAGGGCATGGCCAATAGTGGACCCACCATGGCAATAGTGGAAACTTTTTTCCCAACTCCAATTTTTTCTCCAATACTAAAAGTCAATTAGCTCCATTGACTTTTAGTATTGCCAAAAGAGT